ATATACTGATTTAAAAAAGTATAATTATTTGGATGATTGAAAATAAGGATGATTGAAATATATTTCTGAGGTAACAAAAATTCAAGAAAAAGATGATTGTTTACAAAAATTAATCTTTATTATAGGAAAATTGGCGGAAATAATTACAAAATGTCATGACAAAATAAAGTGAAATTGCTTCGTCGTTTAAGCCTAGTAACGTCGGGTGCTGTCAAATCGATTTTTTTTCGAATTTTCGGAGAACGGATAACGCTACGAGTCTCATACTCTAAAACTATAATTCTTAAGCCTAGCACAACTCAGAACAAAAAGATCTCGGTTGGAACAAGAAAGGAAGCATGTGTTTACTTTTGACGTCGAGTACTGTCAAATCGATTTTTTTACGAATTTTCGGAGAACGAATGATCTTATAAGTCTCATACTCTAGAACTATAATTCTTAAGCCTAGAACAACTCAGAACAAAAAGATCTCGGTTGGAACAAGAAAGATAGTATAAGTTTACTCTTGGTCCGATAGACTGTTTGTCAAAAAACTTTTTTTTAATTTTTCGGGTTTATAATTAAACTTATTGATTTGTGCTTTTGGAACAATGTTTGGAACAACTAGAACTAATCTATTGCGGTATCAGAATGTTCAATTTTCGAAAAGTGGGGTGCCAGCTCAAAAAATCATTTTTTTTGTTTTATTCGAAAGCCGTTTCGAATGAAGCAATATCACTTTGGAACAATGTGGTACAAAGTCAGAACAATCTGGAACTTTCAAAATTATAAATTTCAAAAAGTGGGGTGCCAACTTCATACACTCGCGCTGCATCCTCCGCGTGTTGAACACCTAATCCCTATGCCCTCTCGCCTCCTTTCTCTCCCTTTCTTTCTCGCTACCGTCGAAATTCCTTAATTCCGTCTCTTCTAATGAAAGTACAGATGTGAGTCGCCCGCCCGAAACACCATTAAGAACGTCCTTCGTATTTGAACGGTCCTTTCCTTGCTCTTTATCTCTTTATTCTACGACCCGTGTATATTTTCCTTTCGTGATCCTCGATAGCGCCCGGAGCAAGTTGCAGCGAGTCCTTGAGACACTAATCGTTGTTGAAATAAACGAATTATATCTCCAAAATTGCAAACGCAAGTCAAGACACACAATCATGCGCACACGAAGAAAATCTTATAGTAAAACTTACTAATTTAAGTTGTTGTAACCGAGGAGTAAATTAACATTCTGCAGTAATCCTTTCATTTCATATATGCTATTTATATTTTAAGAACTGAAATGTGCTATTGAAAAATTTGCTATATTTTTAAAGAAATTTACTATGTTCTTTAGCAAGATAGATCTTACTGACAGTTTTGCACTATTCTAGAAATGTCCTTACTAAAAATGGTAAATATGCTATTTAGGGGATTCACCTCCGATGACTTTGCATGTTACATATATTATCAAGGACACGTTTTAGAGATTCTTAAGATTCAAGAGGTTTTAGTCGTCGCTCATTGTTTATTAAAAAGTTATTAACAAAAAAGATGTTATAAATTGAACATAATTTTTACATATAGTGTATATTAAAATATGGTAAACATATATGCGTGAGGAAAAGTCGGAGTCCTTCCCCCTGCACCCTCTTCCCAAAAAACTAACCGAACTCATCATTTACATTTTTGTACATAGTTTTTCCATGAGAAACAATACAAAAATACAAATGATACAGAGAAAGAATACAAAAATGTAAAGGGTGAGATAGATTGAGTTAGTTCTTTTGGGAAGAAGGCGAGGGGGAGGAGTGCAGCCCCTCCTCCGTGCATATATATACACTGTTTATCATACTTCAATGTACGCTATGTATAAAAATTACATTTCATGTACAAAAATACGATATATAATACAATTTTCAGAAGCGTTAACTATTCTTAATATATTGTGACACCTAGGATACATTATTTCATTGCGAACGACTTTTTTTGATACAAGAAAATTCATAAAAATTCTAAAATGTAAGTGTTATATGAATAAATTCGTGTAAATACATTTTTGAAAACTCTGTTGAAATTATCCAAGCGACTACACCACAAGACAGTGACCAAGAATAATAACACTGAGCAGAACATATCACGTAAGAATGTCTTACATATTTAAACGAAGAAATCAAAACAAAGGAATAAGTTTCGCAATAAAGTAAATATATTTGTATATAGCGCGTGTTGACTCCTTGAATATATACATGGTATTGAAAAATTACGTTCTACTTATGAAAATTCTTTTGTTAATAACTTTTCAATAAATAATATTGTAATAGCGAAAAGAATGTTGGATACGTAATTATTTGCAATTACGTAATTATTAAATGTCAAATAAAAATCAAAAAACGCACCCTCGATGTTTATGTACGCCGCATCTTTTTTCTGTTCGTACACTGCGTTCTGTTCCGAGCCAAAAATTCGAGGATACATGTATTCGAACGGTCTTCCATATAATGGAAGACCGTTACATAGAGCGACAGTATCGTTTGTTAAAAGGTGGTCGCCTCTGCCACTCGCTGTTCTCGTTCTCTCCTCCTTTTACCATGAGCTATCCCTCTTCGAACTCAGTTGTATCATATCACTCATTCTCTCTCTCTCTCTTTTTGTATGTGTGTGTGTGTGTCTGCCTCTGTTTGTCTGCCCCTCTCTCGTTTTTTCTCTCTCTCTCTCTCTCTCACTTCCACGGCCTGCCCCTCTCGTTTCTGCGTCCTCCTTCTCCAGCAACCGCCACTTGCGTGTCGGTCGGCCTGGTCCCTTCTTCTGCTGTGTTTGCGCTCAGTCAGCTCGGTATCGCATTATGCTACGGTCATATCGCGTCGCACGGTGCTGCGGCCGTACCGTGTCAGTGTATCCGAACCGTGATCACCGCAGTGCACCTACCTAGGAAAATATCAAGCGGGATCCTTGCGACGCGAACGGGCGGCAGACAGTGGCATGCGGCTGACGGGAAAATGGGGAAAACCGCGAGCAAACTAAAGTCACGAAGAAGCCAAAGTCAGTGCGCACATCTCCACCTACTACTACGTGTCCGCCGCGATATCATTTTCGCATTTTGCATGTCGCAGCTGCCGTGTGTATAGAATGGCCCGGTTTGCCGTATTTCGCCTTTCCTATCTGCAGGAAACATTTGCGATATCGAAGGCTCGAACGAGTTGCGTATCCACGACGGGATATGTACGGATGAGAAAAGTGACACGTGTAAAGTTCGTTAGGTATAACACAGGTTACGCAGGTCAGCGAATTGTTTCCCCCGAATTGTTTTAATAAAAGGAGGAAAGAACAAGAACAGCGAATGGTAGAGGCACCTTTTAACAAACGATACTGTCGCTCTATGTAACGGTCCTCCATTATATCTGGCTGTTCGAATTGTTTGCCCCGAATTGTTTCAGCTTTAAGTGTAACGACGATTGTAAACAATAGTCAGCGAATTAATTCGAATTTCATTTTATCGCCAAAGTCAGCGAAGGGCGACAGAGCGCGCGTCGCGCCGGTGACGCGCGCACGCGGATCGGTTGCGGTGACACGTGTGCGCTTCGCTTAAATCTACGCGCGGCATTGTCGAGGGCAGCGGCGTACCGCGAACGCGCAGAGCGTAACGCAATTGTTACGTAAAATCCCGCGTACGCAACGATGCACTCGTCATCGAAGCGGCATGAATCGCCGCGTTATCCGCGAACGCAATCCACTACGCATCACAACCGCATAAGAGTCAGCAAGTTATGCTACGGTCACATCGTGAAACCGCAATTATTGTTGAAACAATTACGCTCCCTATCTATCTCTCTCTCTCTACCTCTCTTTCACAAAATTATTAAATTAATTATGAATGATGGAATTAGTAGGAATGCGTAAATCGTATAAATCAAAAAGCTCTCTGAATTCTTTGAGGGGCTAAAGAGATACGAGCGTGAAAATATTTCTCGATAAATAAACGGATCGTCGAAGTAACGAACGTCGAGCGACGCCCACGACTCGATCGGTGGGCGAACACGCGCGGGATACGTGTAGCGAAGTCTCGTTCTCCTGAATTCAATTATCCAGTCGAGGTCTGAGGCAGACTCTATGAGAGGATCTGACGCAACACGACGTCTGTCGTTCAGGAAGAGATCGATGAATTCGCGTTTCGCGTCGCGCCCGGGAGCAAGCAAGTCGATTTGCGAAACAACGCGCGTCGCGTGGCGTTTAACCGGCGCGACGGAATCGCGACGGAAGCCACGACTTGGCGCGCGTCATATTCACGCAAGTGTCGTCGCAAGTCCTGAAAGCGGTGAGAGCGCAGAAACTTTTCGCGCTCCACCCGCGACACAATTCATGCAAAACTATGCCGCACGGCGAAACGAGTAAGTTTGTCATCTTACACGGCAGATACGACGGAGTGTGTACATTCGTCGCGCGTGGCGCCAATCCGCCAGCTGAAAATCTCGATAAGCGACTTCCTCGACACTGCGAGCGTCTTTGCGCGAACGTGGCGCGATTGAAATTCCTGTCGCGCGGTAAAAGAGAGAGAGAGAGAGAGAGAGAGAGAGAGAGAGAGAGAGAGAACGCATAATTATACGACGACCGAAGGAAACGGGGGACTTTCTGGACACGGACTGCACTCGCGTGAAAGGTGAAGTGTACTTTTCCAATGGAGTAACTCGACGCTCAAAGGTGCAGAGAGAAAAAGATACTTGAGAACTTATTTGTGAGATACAAGGTTTACTTCACAGAAGTAAACTTTATGGCCTATATATTCATATATTTCTTCTTAGTATCGAAAGTGAAAGTGCCAATCTCCGGGCACGTTCCTGATCCTGGACACTCTTATTTTTTAGTCTTTAAATACGAATATTTAAACTTTAGACGTAGATAAAGATGAAAATGACCTAGTCTGACTGTAACTCGGTAAATTATGGTAAATTACTCGATAATCTTGGAAAGCTGATACAATGGTATAATAATTTGGAAAAAAAATTTTAGTAACATAAAACATTTAGTAATAAATTTTAATAATATAAGCAATTTTAGTATAAAACTCAAAAGGAGCATTTAGCCTTTTTTTCAAAAAGCTTTTTTTTTAATCAAAATTATGGAAAATATTTGTATACTGTATGTTAATATAATATATATAGCATTTAGTAATTAGAGGAAAAAAAACTAAAAAACTTTAAAAAAAACTAAGTTTCAATCTATATTTTTTATAACTCGAAAACAGTCTTATATTTATATTTTTCATACCATCTTACAGGCTTACAGCATTTTCATTTATTGCATTGTTGTTTCAGCGACTAGTATAAAATTGATATTTTTTTGTGATATTTTAAGAAATGAAAACTTTTTCATATGTATGTTAGAAACTTAAATACTCGCATTTAAAGGCAAAACAATAAGAATATTCAGAATTAGATACGTGTAATGATACTTTTACTTTACAGAACAACTCAGACCTAATAAATTGCCTTTCGTCGACAGATTCTTTCACCAATTAAAAGTCAATTTTAACAGAGGCATTTGCAATGATCTAAAAGGTCTACCTTTGTCTTAGGACGTAAATTAACTTGTATCATCAATCTCTTTTATCGACAATAAGAGGAAAAGGGAGCAGTATCCAACCGGCTGGCTGGAATAATTTGAGCCTTTTCCGACAAGCAAGAGCAAAAAGCGCAGACACATGCGGAACGTTATCAGAAAGGCTTGCAGCGGGTGATAAAATATTTAACTTGACTTATCTCTACCACTGCCGATGCTACCGTGCCGTATGTCATTTCAATGCATGACACGCAAAATGACGTGAACTTTATCATTTTCTTCAAAATGAATTATGCGCGACACGATTACACGCGAAAATTCTCAAACGATACATTCCAGTTGTCTTTCCAATTTCCAGCTGGTTGTTATCATCCACGCAGCGTCGTTGTACGTCGCGAACGTAATTGGCGATTCGCGCTTTCCAGGCCTAATGCATTCCAGTCACATTTCGCGTCGTGACATCAATTCTAAAAATTGTTAAGGCCGGCGCGATTTTAGCGAAGTATACATTGAAAAAAAAGATATATAAAAAATAAAAAAAAAAAATTGATTCGGTGGGTACCGAATATAATAAATATTATATATTATAAATTAGTATATATTATAAATATTTTGTTAGTATATAAGTAAATATTTTATTAGTACCCACTGGATAAATATCTTTTTATTTATTTTCAGTTATCTTTTCTCCCGATTTTTAATCTCATAAAAAAAATTCTGAACCTCGCGGCGATGAAGTCGCACATTTTGACTATCTCCTACATTTTCGGGTCGATAGCGCCTCTCCGGGCGTCGCATAGTTATCTCTACCGGTAAACGGCGACCATAAGGTGATAACACCGTCGCCCGGTATTATGTTTGCTCGTGGAGAGACGGGGAGAAACGCAGGACGAAAGAAACGCGGAGAGAGCCGGTGATGGAAGAGACGAGAGGGGAGCGCGAGTAGGTAAACGCGACGAGTGGAAAGGTGAGGGTGAGACAGAGAAAGGTGGACGGAGTGGATGGAGAACAAGGGAGAAAGAGAGAGAGTAATCGGGGGGAGGGGGGGACCGGCGGCTCTACACACCTGCATTCCACTACTCCGCTTTTTCAAACGCGAACACGCCGCTGGTATCGGGAGACCGACCATGTTCGCGGTGCACTCAAGTTCGACGCGCGCGTGTGCGCGCCGGTAATCGCGAAAGTGCGAAACGCGTTCAACTTTCCGCGCTGGCAGTGGCGAAAATCCGGTCGTGATTTCGTCGGAAATCCCGCGAGAGACGCGCGCGCGAGTCAACGGCTCAACGGCGTGTCGATGATAAAAACGCGATGATAAAACCGCGACGTGATCGGCCGCACGAGATCGCGGCCACGAGCACGTAGCGCGCCCGTCGAAACATGGAATCGCTAAAACTGGGAGATCGCAGCGGTAGCACGCGTGAGTACACGTCGGGGAAACGCGTGTACTTTTCACGCGTGTCACGTTGAACGAAGATATATGGCGATACTCTCTCGCGAGTGGGAATATGTCGGCCGCGCGGCGTAACGTTTGTTGTTACACCGTGAAATCGTATCGGACACGATATCTCTTTATACATCGGAGCTACGATCGCGGGCGAAAACTACTACCGGTCCCGAGACGGGGATCGTGATAAGGAGAAAAATGGTGCTCGTGAATAAGCGAGAGCTTAAGCGAGATAATGAATCGCGAATACGCAACTCGTTCTCGCCTCGCGACTCGAACCGCTTTCATTTACGCTCTTGTGCACGTCACGTCACCGAATACACATGTCTGTCGGTACCATAGACAACCGAATTGAAATCGCCCGAGTCGAAATTGTGATCCTATTTTCAACCTCAATATTTCATTCAACACTTACTTTCATACCCTGAAGTCTATATCAATCGTTCTTTTTTTATTTAGCCTGCTGGCTTTGTTCTCTTTAGAACCTACAAGTAGCATTTTGTGTATTTTGTGCCACTTAGAAGCGCTATATAGAATTTCAATTTTCATGTATATTAAACATACATTGATCCTTTAGAATATATAAATGTGAAAAACTTCAGGTCTCAAAAATAGGACTGCAATTTCGACTAGAGCATTTCCACTAGAGTCGAAATTTTGATCCTACTTCCGACTC